GAACAAACAAGTGGTTAAATGTTTCTCAACTACAGAGGTAGATTCAGGGGTACCTTAGAACACGAGAACATCAGCATCCGAGTTTTCCTTTACAGTAAGGTATACCTTATCAGATAATTGTAAAGAATAAGAGGTCATGTCTATAATCAGAGTATCAGAGCATGTCTGAACTTGTGTTATAAACGTTTTTAAAAACATTTTTAGACTGTCTTTTTGAATATGTATGCATTTTAAGCAGATTTTCTTTTTTAATTGTATGTATTTTTATACATTATATAAATTTTTTTCTATCATTTGAAGAATTAGAACTTTTCTTAATCCAAATATATAAAGAGTTATAATGTGCTTTGTTGTACTTTTAGTGATTTTAGATGCACATTGTCTTGCATATTGTATTAGAGACTGATTCAGACCTGTCAACACTTGGATGTAAAAATAAGGGATATGCTCACGATAAATTACACATAAACTACACATTGATTACACTAAATAACAGAGATGTCACTTTAAAAATGCACACATCTAACATTATAATGAAAGCATGCTTGCCTAACTTTTTATATTTATTAAAAAAAATAAAACAAAAGCACAGAACAGTCTCACATTTAAGAGCGAGGGGTGTCCCCTGGTGGTTCGGCGGTATGGGTTGCGTATATTATTGCTACTCTTCATAGAAAGATTGAAATTACTGGAGAAATATGGGAAAATACCTTAATGGGATGATAGCGGGATAGAACTGTAAAATACGGGAGAATCCCAGGAAAAACGGGAGGGTTGACGGGTATGGACTGATTAATAAAATCTTTTATAAAATGGTAGATTTTTATTACCTTTTGTGTCAAATTTTTACATAATTATTTTTATACTTCTATTTTTCCTGCATACAAAATATGTTTTTGCATATACAGAATATATATATATATATATATATATATATATATATATATATATATATATATATATATAATTGTACTGTAATTTTAAAAATTTTTCTACATTTTTGCTAATTTGTTTTTTTGAGCTTATTAAAGTCCTTGGTAAGAATTATTAAATCAAAACATTCTAAACATTCTAAAGTTCTAAATGTTTTATTTTTATTATAAATGTTATTTAAAACTTTAGTTTTTATTTGAATATTTTTTACATTAAAAGTTAAAGTATAAGTTTTTAACTATAAACATTCTAGAAATATTTGTAATTATGAATATATTATAATAATATATCATAATATAATTATTTTTTGTAATTAACATTCTAGCACATTTTAAGTCTTTAAGCATCTTCATTTTAATCATGTTTGATTTTTTTTTATAAATCATTAAAGCATGTTTTGTGCTTAGCATCTTAGTTTTAATCATGTATAAATTTTTTTATTTTTTTATTTTTTTTAAATAAATCATTAGTACATGTTTTGAGCTTATTTTGTTTTCTGTCTGCATTAATTCAGTTGTATACTCCAACAAGGGCACTTAGATGTGCTGATGATTTATTTTTGGCTGTTCCATGCATAAGGTTAAAGGTTAATTTTCCTCTCTTTGTAAGGCAGGCCACAACCCTTTTTTGTTTTAAAAATCTAGTATTAGAATCCATTTTTACTTTTTGGTTTTTATAACCATATGAGAGTCTTCGTCTGTGTGTGTACAGCACTTTGGTAAGCACTTGTTGTTTTTTTAAAAAGCGCTTTATAAATAAACGACGACAAGACAAGACTTGACTTACTTTATTTTTAACATTTAGATTACATTTTTTTTAAAGTGCATTTTGGGATTTACACTGTGGATAATGCTGAGTTCCACACTATTCCTTCATATTCCTTCAACATAAATCTATTAAGTGAACTTAATTTAAGTGGATTTAAAATAAAAAAGTTGTCCCCCAAAAAACTAAAGAATTGTGTTGATTCAGCTAATTTTAAATAAGTACTTTGAACAACCAGCTGAAATATTTTTTTAAGTGTAGAGCTTGTTTGATTTCAAATTAAAAGTTTCCATTTCTTTCAAATAATTAGATGTGACGTTACAGTTCCCTGGAGTCCTGGAAGTAAAGCCGTCTGATCAGTCACTGACCTACAGTACGCCTCAGAGGATTGGGATCTTCCTGGGTGATCTAGACAGCTGATGGTAAAACCCTTTTTCTCCCCTATTCCGTCCATTCCTTTTGTTTCAGAAAGTATCCTTATGGCATTCAGCAGCGGCTAATGCTGCCGTAACCTGGAATGCGTCCAATCTGTTGAACTGGGGGTCAGAGCCATACAATGAGACATGGATCTGTTCTCCTTCACAATTAAAGCCAGTGCGGGACATTTACATCCAAATATGCAGTGTGCAGGGCCTTGTTTACACAACAGTATCTCTCTCTCTCTCTCTCTCTTTCTCTTAAGTCGTAATTCCTCCAAACTATTGCTCTAACAGCTAAAACATTCGTCCTCTCTTTCCACACTTACTCTGAACTCTTCTCTGCATGCTGAGGTTTTTCTTGTGGTTTTTATTATATTTGTGTCAAATCTGTGCATGGTTGACAATTGTTAGGAAGGACTGATACTAAATAGAGAGATAAGCTTTCTATTTGTGTAGCGAATATTATACAAGCCTCCTACCTAAAAAAAAAAAAAAAGATTAGTGATCTTTAATGGCAAACATTTCATTGTGCTATAGCTGGTATTGACGTTTTACGTCTATTTTAATGCACATAACTCTGTGACTTGATACTTTGTGTGTATAACTTGGACATTTGATTAGAAAATTGTGTTTTGTTGATGATAAATGTCAGTTTATTTTAGAATTTAAACATGGGAGATCATGGGAAGAGCAACATGAAAAGCGATTAGTAGACCTTACTTACAAAAAGTGAGTAAACCTGTTGCTTTTAAAGCGATTAGTTGACTTTACTTAAAAATGTGAGTAGACATGTTGCTTTTAAAGTGATTAGTTGACTTTACTTGAAAAATTTAGTAAACCTGTTGCTTTTAAAGTAATTAGTTGACTTTCCTTAAAAACGTGGAGTTTGTATGTTTTTCCCGCATTTGCTTGGGTTTTCTCCAGAAGCTCCGGTTCCCCCCACAATCCAAAGGCATGTGGTTCTGGTAAATTGGGTAGGCTAAAATTACTGTAGTGTGAATGAGTGTGTATGGATGTTATCCCAGAGATGGGTTGCGGTTGGAAGGGCATCCGCTGCGTAAAACATGTGCTGGATAAGTTGGTGGTTCATTCCGTTGTGGCGACTCCAGATTAATAAAGGTACTAAGCCGAAAAGAAATTGAATGAATTAATAATTGAATTAAAAACTTGAGTAAATCTGTTGCTTTTAAAGCGATTAGTTGACTTTACTTCAAAAAAATTGAGTAAACCCATTGTCTTAAAATGATAAGTTGCTTTTACCCCATTGCTTTTGAAGCATTTAGTTGACTTTACTTTTAAAAAAGTGTGTAAACTCATTGCTTTTTGAGCAATTAGTTGACTTTACTTTAAAAAAACATGAGTACATTTATTGCTTTTAAATTGATTAGTTAGCTTTAATTTATTAATTTATTTAAGAATGTGAGTAACCCTATTGCCTTTAAAGCAATTAGTTGACTTTACTTTAAAAAGGTAAGTAAAACTGTTTATTTAAAACTATTATTTGACTTCACTTAAAAACATGAGAAAACATGTTGATTTAAAACAATTAGTTGACTACTTAAAATGTGAGTAAACCTGTTGCTTTTAAAGTAATTGGTTAACTTTAAGAATGTAAGTAACCCCATTGCTTTTAAAGCGATTAGTTGACTTAAAAAAGTGAGTAAATTCATAGCTTTTAGACCGTTTAGTTGATTTTACCTAAAAACATGAGTAGACCTGTTGCTTTTAAAGCGATTAGTTGCCTTTACCTAAAGTGAGTAAACCTGTTGCTCCTAAAGTGATTAGTTCACTTTACTTTAAGAACGCGAGTAATCCCATTGCTTTTAAAGCGATTAGTTGATTTTACTTAAACACGAGTAAATCTGTTGCTTTTAAAGCAATTTCTTGACATTCATTAAAAAAGTGAGTCAACCCACTGCTTTTAAAGCGATTAGTTGACTTTACTTAAAGAAGGGAGTAAACCTGTTGCATTAAAGTTATAAAGTAAATGAACTATGTACATAATTATAAAAATTAATTCAACTTAACAGTTCCATTACAACATGTTTACTCATGTTTTTTTTTAAGTAAAGAAATTGATCACTTTTTACAGTGAATGTGTTCTTACCAATCTTTTACTTGGTCAATCAGAATGAACTATTTGCAAATCCAGTCAATGCAAAATTGTAGAATTTAGTGAATGCTGAATATACAGTACATACTATCAACATACTGACCAAGTTTGATATTGTGGATGAGTATGGTAGCACAGCTTGTATTACAATTGATATTCTTTTGGTAACACTTTACATTACGGGAAGTTGTATTTACTAACACGATCAAACTATGAACCCCCAGAGCATTTAATAATTTTAATTCAACATTTATAATGCATCATTAATATTTAATGCTTATTAATGCACTCTGCGTTAACAAGAACTAACAATAAATGACTGTATTTTCATGAACTAAATAAAAAAAGATTAATAAATACTGTATTGTTCATTGTTTGTACGCTGTAAAAAATGCTGGGGTTCACACAGTTCATTTGTGTTGGGACAACATGAAGGAATTAAGCTAACTTGAACATAAAACAATTAAGTTGACCCCCAAAAACTTAAGATTTGTGTTGTTTCAGCTCAATTTAAATAAGTGTTTTGAGCAAACCGCAAATGTCCTTAGACATGAGAGTTAATACATGAACTGCATGTCCTGTATTGTCAAGTGTTACCTCATTATTTTGCATTAATTGCATTTCTTGATAGTGTATTTGTTCAGCTTTGAATTGTTTGATTAAAAGGGCTTTAAAAGTCAAAGTCTCTCTCTCTCCCTCACTTTCTCTTTAGTTGTAACTCCTCCTCCAAACCATCAGTCTAACAGCTATACATTCTTCCTCTCCTTCCACTCTTACTCTGAATGACTTAGTCACTGCATGCTGAGGCTTCCCGTTGCCTGTGGGGATTTTGGGGAATTTGTGATGACAGCACCTCTCCCTCTGCGGAGGAGTTGCTTTGAATATCTGAGGAGAAGAGGAAAGAGAGACGATATCGAGAGCTGAGGACGTCCCAATGCATGTTTCCAGGTTTTAACAGGACATTGGACACATTTCGGGATACTCATCGTGACCATGACGGGTGATGGAGTTTCCAGGACATTCTGAGGTGAGATGTTGTTTTGTTGTGTATTTATTAGTAAGTCAGTTTGTTGGACAGAGACGTCAGTTCTTGGGTGCAGGTGGATGTCGGTTTAGGTTACCGATAGAGGAGACTGTGGATATTTTGAAGTTAGTCTTGACGAAAGCGTGTGGTAAGTTAATTTTGAGGCTTGCTGGAAAACATTGTTGAGTTTGTTGTTGACATTTAGATGGCTATGATGTATTTATTTAACTTTGAAATAATCAGAGCTTTTTAGAATCCATAGAGTGTTATGTATTTTTGATATTTTTAATTATTTTAAACCGATACGATATTAGAGTCTGACTGACGAAAACTTTTAATAAATGTAAGATTTTAATTTTAAAAATTGTTTGACCTAATTATTGTTATAATTCCATTTTTCATGCATTTTAAAACATTTTTATTATATATCTGTATGTAATATATTTTTGTGAGTGTCATTTTTACAATTTACAAATTTTTTTGGGGAGATTATTTTGATTTTTTTACGTCCATGTTGAGAATGGTTTAATCCAAAATTATTAAGTAAAAAATTTTATTCAAATGAAAAATAAATAAATTAATAACATACGTTTTTATGAATGTTTTAAACAGTTTTTGCATTAAATGTTTAGATATAAATTTGTTATTACACTGTGAATTAAATTGAATTGGTTGCCTTAAATTTTTAAGTTAAATCAAATTAACCTTATGAGTCATTAGAACTTACTCTACATTAAACTGACTAAACAGCTTGCATAACTCAAAAAATTAAGTTAGAACATGATTTACTTGGTTTAAAAAGTTACAATGAACTAAAGACGTTGTCATGACCAAGTGACAAATAATTATACCTAAATTATGTTTTTGTAATTATCATTCTTGTTTATTTCAAGTCTTTGAGTTTATTTTGTTTACTTTATTTTTAAATTTTAGATGACATTTTTAAATATCTGTTGGGATTTAAAGCTTATCGGATTTCAAATTTTTAGTATTTGTTTAGTTAAATATACTTCCACACTGTGCGAATGGATATTTTGAAGTTTGTTTTGGTAAAAGTGTGACAAATTAATATGTATACTTTTTTTTTTTTTTTTTTTGTAAAAAAGTGTGTGTGTAAAAGTGTAAAAGTGAAATTTAGATGCTTGATGGAAAACATTGTTCTCTTTTTGTTCAACATCTTTAGATGACTTTGTTGAAATTTTGCATTATAGATTTGTTGTTATGTGAGTAACTGACTTTGTTTTTTTTGTGTATGTATAATTTAACTTTTATTTTTTATATATATTAATTGTTGCTACACTGTCTCTCATAGTTGCAACTTTATATCTTCCAATTAATATCTTGCAGTTTGACCTAGTCCTCCCAACATTGAATGTTAGTCCCAATTTAAGCTTTATTCCTCATAATTGCAACTTTGTATCTTAGAATCACATTTTCACAATGTGACTATAATATACTTTACAGTTTATTATAATTTTATTTATTTTTACAAGTATACAAAAATAAACACAGGTACATTAACTTATCTAGATTGTAACAAACTAAAACTGTAAAAAAAAAAAAAAAAAAAAAATATATATATATATATATATATATATATATATATATACATATATATATATATATATATATATATATATATATATATATATATATATATATATATATATATATATATAAAATATTTTTAAATGGTTAATAAAATACATCTTGCTATTTGAATTAAATCAAATTATTATTATAATATTATATATATATATATATATATATATATATATATATATATATATATATATATATATATATATATATATATATATTATATTACCTATTGGGATATTGAGCTTATCTAATATATTTAAAGATTAAGATTTTTTTAAATAGGATAGCGAAATTTGGAGAATTGCTTTAAAAATTGTTTAACATTTTCTTATGTATATGGGGTAATTTGCATGTGAGTAACTAAATTTTGAAAGATAATGGTAAAATAAATTAAATTAAATTAAATCAATTATTTTTTCAGGACATACATTGTATGTACCTGTTGAAATAATGAGTTTATTTAATTTCAAAGTGTTTAATTTAATTTAATTTAATTTAATTTATTTAATTTAATTTAATTTAATTTAATTTAATTTAATTTAATTTAATTTAATTTAATTTAATTTAATTTAATTTAATTTAATTTAATTTAATTTAGTTTAATTTAATTCTATTTAATTCTATTTAATTTAATTTAATTTAATTTAATTTTCTCTAAAGAGAGAAAATAAGGCATGCAGGACCTGTAAGACACACACAAAATTCCTTATTTTAAGGTAAGACAACATGTTTCTAGCACAGTTTAGCTATTTCTTAAAATAGGTCATATAATGATGAAGTTTTAGTTATGAAATGTTTATAAAACAACATTTAGTTCACATCAATCACTTTATTCAGTTGAAATAACTAATAGAATTTTGAAAGAACTTTTTTAACACTTGATGTACTCAGACGTGTGTATGAGGAGAAGCAGGATTACTTCACCTTCCACGTGCCAGTAACTCGTTTGCACAGTATGTTTTTACAGGACCGTTACAGTACTGTCGAAACATACGCTGTGTAATGAATTAATAACAATCTCTGCAAAGTGAATGGGAATGGCGGCGTTAACAGTCACTCACAGTGTGTAAAGTGTAAAGAAAACACCACTCGCCCCTTTTCATGTCTTGCAACACTTTGCGCTCAACGAGAAACTTGTAGAAGGCTTGAGTGACATTCACAGTGCAGAATCCTCTTTGGCTGTTTGGATCAAGTCTTTTATACAGCTGGGAATGAGGAGGCCTCCTTTTTCTGTGGCTTTACAGAGAAACGGGCTAAAGGAAAGGAGGTGAGAGGACTAGATCAAATCAGGGTTACACTTGCAACACTGCTTCTCATGAAGGACAACTTTTTCTCTTATTGAGAGCAACTGGAAAGTAACTGGAAGTTTAGTCAGCAGCAGCTTTGCAGTGTATTTCTACTACGTGATATCTCCAAAGTAATCATACAGTTGTCAGTGACTTGTTATGGTTGGTGATTATAACTAATCCATCATAAACAAAGGCATTGTGCTTTGTTTACGTTTGTAAGGGTGCTTTGCAAATGGTTTGCATAAATTGTTGCCATGTCCACTTTTAAATGCAATTTGTTGTACGTCTTTTGGCATTCAGTTTATAGAATTAATAAAGTAGGCATATGTGGGCCACAATTAATTTGGTATAGGGTTTATTTATTCAAGAAGAAGCATTTTTGATTTTTCACCTTGCTCTTATTTAGGGTTTTCTTTTCTAGCAAGATCTGGCAACCCCAAAGAAATGTACCTCCTTTCCAGGGATTTCTTAAACATGATTTTATGTCTATAATAGCGTGTGTACTTTTAACGTCTTCACATGGTCTTATGCTGTGACATTCCGGATTTTTGCTGAATAAATTATTATTTTTGTTGATTAAAAAATGGTTCGACTTTATAATCTTGGTATTTACAGCTGTACACAAGCTTCAGGATTGACAACAACATTTCAATATATGGAAGTGGATTCACTAAATTATAATTTTGTGTCTATAAAACATGACTCAAATTTCAATGTTTGAAACTATTATTCATTAATACCATTTGATATCCATTCGATAAAATGGTGATGTTACAGTGACACAATGAATGATTATGGTTGTTGATTATAACCAGAGCTTGACATTAACAATTGCCAACCCGCCAAATGCCGGTAGATTTCAGCGGTGGCGGGTAAGATACTCCCACTGGCCACTTTGGCTGGTTGAAAATGTTTTTTCCCAGACAATAATTCTTAAAAGCAGGGTTTGACAATAAGGATGGTCCTATATGCATGCAAAGGGGATCTTAGAATTGGGAAGCAACTGGTAAAAATAATTGTATCGTGCGAGCAATAGAAAGCAGGTGAATACTGAATGAGAGGATGATCACCCACGCTAACAGCTGAGGTGATGCGCATGGCTGTTTAAAACGTGCGCGCGCCCCCTATTCCTTGCGTGAAGCAACTGTGTCTAGAAACACAACTGATGTGATCGGTTCTCTTTCAGATGGACTAGACAAAAAGTGATGAACATGCACCCACAGTCTTGCTGCTTTCAAGAGTTCCAGATTTGTCTTTTTGTAAGCAGCATCGATTGCTTTCGCTTTAAGCAATCTTTGAACAGATTAACCGTGTGTGTAATCATCCTTTCATTATCACACAATATGTTTTTTTATCTTCTTTTTTTTGCGTTAATATGGTTTAATTATCATTTTTTTACAATAACATTGCTTTAATGGGGTATTAAGTCCCCATTTATGTATAGTTAACTGGTGATCTGGCACCTTTAGCCTGGACAGATTACTGTGCATATGTTTGTTTTAAAATAAAAAGTGTAGTATGCAGCTATATTTGCCTATTTGCCCATGATTATTGAGCTCATTCACGACACAAAAAAAGTGAAATGAATGAGGAGGCATGTGGAGATAACACAAAATCTAAATCAAGTAATTTTAGCATGTCAAAGTCATATTTATGTGTATAAAATATACTTTCAACAATAAAATATATTTATATTCATGACAATAAAAGTGTGGCTAGTGAAAATGGCGAGTGGCTTGTAATGTTGGAAAACTTCTAGCCAGAGTGGCTTGTGATCAAAAAAGTTAATGCCAAGCCCTGATTATAACTAATCCACCATAAACAAAGGCATTGTGTTTTGTTTATGATTGCAACGCTGCTTTGCACAGTTTTTGGTTCAAGTGTTGCCATGTCCTCTTTTTATAGGAAATGTTGTGTACAGTAAGTGACTTACTTGATTCAGTTGACTTAATTGATTCAGTTGATAGAATTAAAAAAGTAGGCATACAGTATGTGGGTCGCAGTTATTATAGTATGTGGCTTATTATTTTCACGATAAAGTAGTTGTGCTACTTTTTCCACCTTTCTCTTATTTATTGTTTCCTTTCTAGTGTGATCTGGCAAACCAAATGA